GCTGCCCAGGAGTGGAAATGCTGGCAAGCACGTGGCCAGCTTTAGTAGACTCGGCACAGTATTCAGTAGTAGAATTCTTCTCTTCTGTGCAGGAGACCCGGGTTCAATTCCCAGCCAATACACCTCATGCACAGCCACCACCTATCCTCAGCGGATGCTTGTGCGTTGCTATGAGGCTGAACAGATTTCAGCAGAGCTTCCAGACTAAGATGCACTAGGAAGAAAGGCCAGGTGATCTACTTCCAAAAAGCAGCCAGTGAAAAGCCTATGGAGCACAACAGTCGTTCTGTTGTATGTGGGGCCACCATGAGTCAGGGCAGACTCGACAGCAGCTAACAACAACCACAGTTTCCCCAGGTGACTATTCCACTTTCTCCCTGAGCGATGGCCTCTTTTTTGATAGCACCAGCCTCTCCTTCTCACCCGTAAAATGAGCCCACAGTGTGGAGCCAGACAGACCTCAGTTCAAGCCTCAGCAACACTACCCACCTGAGGGGCCCTCAGGCAAGTTACTTAACTTCCTTGAGGTTTCATTTCTCGCAGGGACACAATGCCCGCGTCAGCCTTCGTGGGTATGCACGTCAAACAAGGAGACACTGTGCCATCATTTATGATCGACATCCTGCCCCATGGGCCATGGGTACTAAGCAAACATTCTCCCCTCCCTCTCACTCACACCTGCGCTCCCATCATACAGTCACCAAACATTTCCCGCCCTTTCGCCCCATGGAGTCCTAAAAGTCTCCGCCTGTGATCCTGAGAATCTATTTATTATTACTGTCTACCCCCATTTTTATGTAATGGGCTGCTTCTATCCTGCCCGCTGTAGGTGGTGGGAAAACCCAGGAACTGAGGAGGGTCCATGCTGGCTCAGTGCATCCCAGGCTGAACTCCTAGAAGGGGCTCCCTGTGGAGTAACTTGGCCAGGAAGGAGACACACTCTAACCAAAAATAAGAGTGTCACTCAATTTACGTGGTCTTTTTAAATGCTGTTACGCAGAGATCTCCGAGATATATCATTACTGGAAACAAGCAAATGCAGGACAGGCTGTATGCTTTGTCACCTTCTGCATAAAAAGGAGGGAGAAGGATATACGTTTATGCTGACTTAGATCTCTGAAAGGACACTCGAGATACTAACCACATGGGACTGTGGGGAGGGCAGTGGCAACTGGGACAGGTGGGGGAGGACACTAGGCACAGCGTGTCCTTTTTTAACTTTGGGGCTTGAACCACAGGATAGATCCTCTATTCAAAAGTTTTTTTACATGTTTACATTCATAAGTTTTTAAAATTATGCCAGCAGGTGGATATGAATCCAATGTAAACTCCATGAAGATTTCTGTGCATCAACCCTGGCAAAGCAAGATGTCTGTTAGGTGTGTGTATAGGACAGCATGTAGATGGGTACAGGTAGGGGAGCATGTGTAGGCATATCTATGTGTTGGACATACTCCATAATAACCTGGGAGGTGGCATAAGGTCATATCAAGGGCAGTGCCCTAAATGTCTGAGAAGAGGGCCTGACCTGAACTCATATGGTGTCTTAGGCTGGACTTTCTAGAGAAGCAAAACCCGTGAAGCATATTTATATAGCGAGTGAGAGATTTATCTCAAGGAAATGGCTCACGCAGTTGTAGAGGCTGACAAGTCCCAAGTCCATCGGTCAGGCATCAGGCTGGAGGCCTCTGCTGACTCACATAGTTGCAAGGGCTGATGAACCCAAGATCGGCAGGTCAGATGGCAGGCTGCTGGCTCATGGGCTGCAGAGGCTGATGAATCCAAGATTGGCAGGCAAGATGACAGGTTGCTGGCTCAAATCCCAAGAATCAGAGGTCAGATGATGATGAGCCAAATGCAGGATCCAGGGCAGAGCAAAAGCCAGCGAGCTTCGCCGGAAAGTCCATATATACTGGATGCAGGCCATACCCCAAGGAAACTCCCTTTCAAGTGATTGGCTGCTCATAGCAGATCTCATCATGGAGGTGATTATATCAGATTATGGAGATTATTACATCATTACATAGCTGCCAAACTACATCATAATTGCCAAACCACTGAGAATCATGGCCCAGCCAAGTTGATACACAACCTTAACCATCACATATGGTTAGACCAGAAGGCCCACCTCTCTCCACCACGCCATGCCCTCCCTCACTTCTACAGATTTGGAACTCTACCACAAGAAATCTGGAGTAAGGAAATGACTACATGTCCTTTAAGGTTCCGTACATGTGTGTGTACAGGGGTGTATGTGTTTATATACATGTGTATATGTATGTATGTGTATGCATGTGTGTGTATCTGTGTGGGAATGGGTGTATGTAGGTGTGAGTATATGTTTAAGTATGTGTGTAGAGGTAGGGGGTGTGTATGCAGGTCTGTGTGTGTATATGTGTGTAAGTATATGTAGGTTTATGTAGGAGAGTGTATGTGTATGAACGTGAGTGTATGGAGGTGCGTGTATAGACGTGTGCTTTTTTACGGAGCAAAAAAGAGAACAGACTAGGCCCCCAATAACTGACAGATCCTTGGAATACAGCAAGTGGGCGACAGTTGGGAATATCTCCCTGCCAAAAAATGGCCAGACTATCCACCTTCCCAAAGGACGGCAGCATGGGCCAGATGCAGAGCCCTGTGGGCAGGTGATGGTGATTAATAATTAACACATCTGAGCTTGGCAGGGTCTCCCCTCACTCCACTCCACTCTACGTGGCCTCATCTTCCAGTCAGGCTCTGAGAAGTCAGGCAAAGGCCAGCAGATGGACCAGGTCCACACGAAGGAGCTGGGGTCTGGCAGGGAGAAGGGCCCTTATCCTTGAGGGGCCTTGCAGCAGAGAGGCAAATAGCCCCAACCACACTGAGATGCAGGGACACCCCTACCAGGAAGTGTAGGCACCTTCCCTCTGGATGCCCAGCCAGGCCATGGCTCCCCAGCCACCCCCTCACTCAAAGGGGTGTCATGGATTGAATTGTGTCCCTCAGATATATGTGTATCAATTT